CCCCCCCCCCCCCCCCAAAAAAGAAGAAAAATACCCCCCTTTTTTTTTTGCTTTTCTGCAATACACTATGCTGTTGCGAATTGACCCCCCGCAATTTTTTTTACCCCCCCATCTTTTTCACAAAATTTTTTTTTTACCCCCTCCCCCTTTTTTTTCAAAGATAAAAAAATATTTGAAGAAATTTTCTTTTTGATTTCTGAAATCTTGTGGAGAAAAAATTGTCCCCCCCCCAACTTTTTTTAACCTCCCCCCTTTTCCAAAAAAAAATCTTTCCCTCAAGATATGGTCATAATCTCAATTCAAATTTCAAATAGAGTTTGCAACCATAACAAGCATTCTGAGAGTATTGCATGGCAATACATAGTCCCCTACCAGATAAGAATTCGTTGTACTGGAACAAAATGCTAACTTGATCTATAACTTGTCATGACCGAAACTATATAACAAATATCAAGTCAATATATTCAAGCATGATGAAAAAAAATGCGGAAAACTGATTATTTGAGTGAATTTTCTAAGTCCAAGGACCATAACTCTGCACAAAATCATAAGACTGGAACAAAGTTCGAACTTGATCTGTAACTTGTCAAGATGAAACTATATACCAAATTTCAAATCAATATCTTCAAGCACGAAGAAAAAAATTGTGGAAAACTGATTTGCCGGCTGACGGATTGACAGAAAGACAGACAGACAGACAGACAGAGTGCAAACCTAAAGTTCCCTTCAACTTTGTTGGTAGGGGACTAATAACCCATTTAAATACATCATAAAAGTCTTAAAATAAATAAAATGCTCCGCAGGGCGCAGCTTGATACGACCGCAGAGGTCGAACCCTGAACAGTTGGGGCAAGTATGGACACAACATTCAAGCTTGATACAGCTCTGAATTTGGATTGTGATTAAATATTTGACACAGCATAGGTTTCTGACACAGAATGAATGTGGTCTAAGAACTTAAAAATTTTAAATTGAACATTCACCTATTATGGTCCAATATCCAAAATCTAAATACATGGTTAGATTCAACATATCAAAGAACCCCAAGAATTCAATTTTTGATGAAATCAAACAAAGTTTAATTTTGGACCCTTTTGACCTCAATGTGGACAAAGTTGATAACGGGGCCCAAAAATAAAAAATCTAAATACATGGTTAGATTCAGCATATCAAAGAACCCCACATATTCAATTTTTGTTGAAATCAAACAAAGTTTAATTTTGGACCCCGACTTGGACCAACTTGAAAACTGGGCCCATAATCAATAAAATGCTCCGCAGGGCGCAGCTTGATACGACCGCAGAGGTCGAACCCTGAACAGTTGGGGCAAGTATGGACACAATATTCAAGCTTGATACAGCTCTGAATTTGGATTGTGATTAAATATTTGACACAGCATAGGTTTCTTACACAGAATGAATGTGGTCTAAGAACTTAAAAATTTTAAATTGGACATTCACCTATTATGGTCCAATATCCAAAATCTAAATACATGGTTAGATTCAGCATATCAAAGAACCCCAAGAATTCAATTTTTGATGACATCAAACAAAGTTTAATTTTGGACCCTTATGACCTCAATGTGGACAAAGTTGATAACGGGGACCAAAAATCAAAAATCTAAATGCATGGTTAGATTCAGCATATCAAAGAACCCCATATATTCAATTTTTGTTGAAATCAAACAAAGTTTAATATTGGACCCCAATTTAGACCAACTTGAAAACTGGGCCCAAAATCAAAAATCTAAATACATGTTTAGATTCAGCATATCAAAGAACCCTAAAAATTAAATTTTTGTTAAAATCAAACTAAGTTTAATTTTGGACCCTTTGGACCTTAATGTAGACCAATTTGAAAACGGAACCAAAAATTAAGAATCTAAATACACGGTTAGATTAGGCATATCAAAGAACCCCAATAATTCAATTTTTGATGAAATCAAACAAAGTTAAATTTTGGACCCTTTGGACCTCAATGTGGACCAATTTAAAAACGGGGCCCAAAATCCAAAAACTTAATACACGGTTAGATTCAGCATATTAAAGAACTCCAAGAATTCAAGAATAAAACCCCATTGAAATTGATCAAGAAATAAGCAATTTATACGAAGTATCTTCTTTTGCACAATACTGTGCAATTGAATATTTCTTGCTATTGCGCAAAACTGTACAATTGACAATTTCTTGCTATTGCGCAATATTGTGCTATTGGATATTTCTTGCTATTGCGCAATACTGTGCAATTGAAGATTTCTTGTTATTGCGCAATACTGTGCAATTGAAGATTTCTTGCTATTGTGCAATACTGTGCAATTGAAAATTTCTTGCTATTGCACAATACTTATTATATAATAATTTACACATCCTGTTTGGTGTGTATCTCCTACCATATCATTATTATTTGCTTTTAAATATAAATCAGAAATAACCAACTTAAAATGGAAAATTTTAAAAGAAAAAAAAAAAGGAAAAAAGAAAAAAAAAGAAAAAAAAAAATCCCCCCCCCCAAATTTTTTGAACCCCCTTATGATTCATCCACCCCAAACTCAATCCCAGCCTTCCCTTTGTGGTATGGTACCTTGCAGTACAATTTCAGAAATATTCAAACACTTACACACAAGTTATTGTCATGAAACTAGAAAAATGCTTGTTTTTTGCCCCTTTTTTGGCCCCTAATTCCTAAAATTTTGAGGCAATTACCCCCAAAATCAATTACAGCCTTCCCTTCGTGATAAGGAACCTTGTGGTACAATGTCAGAGAGATCCATACACTTACACACAAGTTATTGTCTGGAAGTTACAAAAATGCTTATTTTTGGCCCCTTTTTGGCCCCTAATTCCTTAACTGTTGGTACCATAACCCCCAAAATCAATCCCAACCTTCCTTTCGTGGTATTGAACCTTATGGTAAAATTTCATGGAGATCCATTTACTTAAACTAAAGTTAGAGTGCGAAAAACCAATGTGTCTTCGGACGACGCCGGACGTCTTCGGACGACGACATCAACGTTATACCAATATACGACCAAAAAATTTTTAATTTTTGCGGTCGTATAAAAATCTAAATACATGTTTAGATTCAGCATATCAAAGAACCCTAAAAATTAAATTTTTGTTAAAATCAAACTAAGTTTAATTTTGGACTCTTTGGACCTTAATGTAGACCAATTTGAAAACGGAACCAAAAATTAAGAATCTAAATACACGGTTAGATTCGGCATATCAAAGAACCCCAATAATTCAATTTTTGATGAAATCAAACAAAGTTAAATTTTGGACCCTTTGGACCTCAATGTGGACCAATTTAAAAACGGGGCCCAAAATCCAAAAACTTAATACACGGTTAGATTCAGCATATTAAAGAACCCCAAGAATTCAAGAATAAAACCCCATTGAAATTGATCAAGAAATAAGCAATTTATACGAAGTATCTTCTTTTGCACAATACTGTGCAATTGAATATTTCTTGCTATTGTGCAATACTGTACAATTGACAATTTCTTGCTATTGCGCAATATTGTGCTATTGGATATTTCTTGCTATTGTGCAATACTGTGCAATTGAAGATTTCTTGCTATTGCGCAATACTGTGCAATTGAAGATTTCTTGCTATTGTGCAATACTGTGCAATTGAAAATTTCTTGCTATTGCACAATACTTATTATATAATAATTTACACATCCTGTTTGGTGTGTATCTCCTACCATATCATTATTATTTGCTTTTAAATATTAATCAGAAATAACCAACTTAAAATGGAAAATTTTAAAAGAAAACAAGAATAAAACCCCATTGAAATTGGTCAAGAAATAAGCAATTTATAGGAAGTATCTTCTTTTGCACAATCCTGTGCTATTAAATATTTCTTGCTATTGCGCAATACTGTACACTTGACAATTTCTTGCTATTGCGCAATATTGTGCTATTGGATATTTCTTGCTATTGAGCAATACTGTGCAATTGAAGATTTCTTGCTATTGTGCAATACTGTGCAATTGAAGATTTCTTGCTATTGTGCAATACTGTGCAATTGAAAATTTCTTGCTATTGCACAATACTTATTATATAATAATTTACACATCCTGTTTGGTGTGTATCTCCTACCATATCATTATTATTTGATTTTAAATATAAATCAGAAATAACCAACTTAAAATGGAAAATTTTAAAAGAAACAAAAAAGGAAAAAAAGAAAAGAAAGGAAAAAAAAATAAATCCCCCCCCAAAATTTTTTGAACCCCCATTATGATTCATCACCCCCAAACTCAATCCCAGCCTTCCCTTTGTGGTATGGTACCTTGCAGTACAATTTCAGAGAGATCCATACACTTGAACACAAGTTATTGTCTTGAAACTAGAAAAAAATGTGTTTTTTGGCCCCTTTTTGGCCCCAAATTCCTAAACGTTTAGGGCAATTACCCCCAAACTCAAACCCAGCTTTCCTTTTGTGATATGGAACCTTGTAGTACAATTTCAGAAAGATCCATACACTTACACACAAGTTATTGTCATGAAACTAGAAAAATGCTTGTTTTTTGCCCCTTTTTTGGCCCCTACTTCCTAAAATTTGGAGGCAATTACCCCCAAAATCAATCCCAGCATTCCTTTAGTGATATGGAACCTTGTGGTACAATGTCAGAGATATCCATACACTAACACACAAGTTATGTCTGGAAGTTACAAAAATGCTTATTTTTTGCCCCTTTTTGGCCCCTAATTCCTTTACTGTTATTACCATAACCCCCAAAATCAATCCCAACCTTCCTTTTGTGGTATTGAACCTTGTGGTAAAATTTCATAAAGATCCATTCACTTAAACTAAAGTTAGAGTGCGAAAACCAATGTGTCTTCGGACGACGCCGGATGACGACGACGACGACGACAACGACGACGCCGGACGACGACGACGCCAACGTCATACCAATATACGACCACAAAAATTTTTTTGCGGTCGTATAAAAAAAAGGAAAAAAAGATAGAAAAAAAATCCCCCCCCCCCAAATTTTTTGAACCCCCTTATGATTCATCACCCCCAAACTCAATCCCAGCCTTCCCTTTGTGGTATGGTACCTTGCAGTACAATTTCAGAGAGATCCATACACTTGAACACAAGTTATTGTCTGGAAACTAGAAAAATGCTTATTTTTGGCCCCTTTTTGGCCCCCAATTTCTAAACGTTTCGGGCAATTACCCCCAAACTCAATTCCAGCTTTCCCTTTGTGATATGGAACCTTGTAGTACAATTTCAGAAATATCCAAACACTTACACACAAGTTATTGTCATGAAACTAGAAAAATGCTTGTTTTTTGCCCCTTTTTTGGCCCCTAATTCCTAAAATTTTGAGGCAATTACCCCCAAAATCAATTACAGTCTTCCCTTTGTGATATGGAACCTTGTGGTACAATGTCAGAGAGATCCATACACTTACATACAAGTTATTGTCTGGAAGTTACAAAAATGCTTATTTTTGGCCCCTTTTTTGCCCCTAATTCCTTAACTGTTGGTACCATAACCCCCAAAATCAATCCCAACCTTCCTTTTGTGGTATTGAACCGTATGGTAAAATTTCATAGAGATCCATTCACTTAAACTTAAGTTAGAGTGCGAAAACCAATGTGTCTTCGGACGACGCATGACGACGACGACGACGCCAACGTCATCCCAATATACGACCGCAAAAATTTTTTGCGGTCGTATAAAAATTGTACTTGATCTTAGTTTTGTGGTAATGAATATTGTGTATAGGTTTCATAATGTTTGGTTGGGGCAAACTCAAGTAACCGAATGGAAACTAAAAATTTTGCATTCTTTTGATTTATACAGGGGCATAACTCAATAATGGTTAAAGTGACACTACTCAAATTCAACTTGATCTGTGTTTTCTCAGTGGAAGTCAAAATTAGAAACATTGCATTGTATAAAGCATTGATTGTAGTTGATTCAACTATAATCATGGACAAAGGAAGATAACTCCAATTTAAAAATTACTTAATATTTAGAAGAAAATAAAAATTTTGCAATTTTTCCATTTATAAAGGGGCATCACTCTAGAACGGTTAAAGTGATGCCACCAAAATTCAAACTTGATCTGTGTTTTGTGGTAATAAGCACTGTGTATAAGTTTCATAACATTTAATTAAGGCAAACTAAAATGAGAGAACGAAAACAAAAAATTCAGCAATTTTTCCATTTGTAAAGGGGCATAACTCTAGAACGGTAAAAGTGACGCCACCAAAATTCAAACTCGATCTGTGTTTTGTGGTAATAAACATTGTGTATAAGTTTCATAACATTTGGTTGAGGCAAACTAAAGTTAGAGAACGGAAACAATAAATTCAGCAATTTTTCCATTTGTAAAGGGGCATAACTCTAGAACGGTAAAAGTGACGCCACCAAAACTTAATGCCCCCTCCGCTACGGTGGGGGCATAAAAAAAATAAATTGATTAGATTTCTTACTCGTGATGTTTTGCCTTGCTTGTGCAATTTCGTCGATTCCTGCTATTAATGAAGACAATAAAACATCACTATTGTTCTCAAAAATGTATTTTAACATATTACATACTGAAATTCAGAAATTATTGCAAGGTTTTATTGCAATAATAAGACCTTGAATTTCGATAACAGAAACACATATAACTGTATGCAGGTTTTCCTGAAAATGCAATGATTAATCTCACATTTTTTCACTTTTTTCAAAAATGCCAATAATAAATGCACACAATAATTTCTGAATTTAGAGTATTGATTCTAGAAAAAGTGGATTATTAAAGACGTCTTCTCCAAAAGGAACTCATATGCCAAATAGGACCCTTACCATACTTATTTCACATTATTACAATATTGAACACATGACTTGAAAAAAAATCTATCGAATGTACATGAAGATACAATATTGAGTAAATCATAAAATATTTGGCCCTTACAACTTAATTTCCTGAAATACAATTCTGCTTACAGAACAATATATTAGTAGCCTCTCAAAGCAAGATAAATAAACTGCTTCGCTGAGCGCAGCTGGATACGCCCGCAGAGGTCCAACCCTGAACAGTTGGGGCAAAAATGGACACAATATTCAAGCTTGATACAGGTCTGAATTTGGATTGTAATTAAATATTTGACATAAAGGTTTCTGAATAAATGTAGTCAAAGAACTTGAAATTGGTTATATGAATTGAATTTATATTCAATTAAAGATTTCTTGCTGTTGTGCAATACACTATGCTGTTGCGCAATACTTAGTAAATCTGTTGTCAGACTATAAACAAATAAATTTAATAAAATTCTAAAGGGAGCTTACATCAATAGATATAATCAATTCACCAAAGTTTCATAAGAATTGTTGAAACTATTTTTGAGTTATTGTCTGAAAACTGGAAAATCCTCCCTTTCTTAATGAATAAAACCCCACAACTCGGAAATGTAATATCTAAAATTTATAAAATTCTAAAGGGAGCTTACATCAATAGATATCAACAATTCATCAAAGTTTCATAAGAACTGCTGAAAGCATTTTTGAGTTATTGTCCGAAAACTTGAAAATCCCCCCTTTTTTTATGAACAAAACCCTGTAACTTGGAAACGTAAAATCTAAAATTTATAAAAATCTAAAGGGAGCTCATGTCAACAGATATAAACAATTAACCAAAATTTCTTGCAAGTTGGTGAAAGCATTCTTGAGTTATTGTCCGAAAACTGGAAAATCCCCCTTTTTTTAATGAATAAAACCCCATAACTCGGAAACATAAAATCTAAAATTTATAAAAAACAAAAGGGAGCTCACGTCAATAGATATAAACAATTCACCAAAGTTTTATGCAAATTGGTTAAAGCGTTTTTGAGTTAATGTCCGACATGTTGACAACGGACAGACGGACAGACGGACGGACAGACAGACAACGGTATACCATAATACGTCCCGTAAACGGGCGTATAAAAAGCTTGTTTGTTAGTTTAATGGAAAGCTCCTTTATAATCATACAATGACAGTTAATTTCATTTGTTTTACTAAAAGTGGCTTTGGTCTAAATTTACATAACATGTATAGTGTTTTAAGTTTAGTTCAACCTAACCCTAGGTCTGATGTTTTCAATTTTCTGGAAGGATTTGTAAATTTAGTCAAAATAAGAATGGAGACTACATGCCAACATTAATGTAAAATAAACTGCTTTGCCGAGCGCAGCTGGATACGACTGCAGAGGTCCAACCCTGAACAGTTGGGGCAAAAATGGACACAATATTCAAGCTTGATACAGGTCTGAATTTGGATTGTAATTAAATATTTGACACATTATAGGTTTCTGACACAGAATAAATGTAGTCAAAGAACTTGAAATTGGTTATATGATTTGAATTTATATTCAATTGAAGATATCTTGCTGTTGTGCAATACACTGTGCTGTTGCGCAATACTTATTAAATCTGTTTTCAGACTATATACAAAGAATTAGCAAAATAAATTGTGACAATTTCTTAAATCTTGAGGGAAAAAAATTGACACCCCCAAACAAAAATTTATTTACCATCCCCCCCCTTTAAAAAAAAGCGGTCATATAATAACTGGATATTTGGGGTAATTTCTGACACTCTTTACAAACTGAAATATCAATACAAGTATGTTATGTGATACAAGCAATTACAAGTTTGTGTAAAAACTTCAGCATTCTCTTGGAAATCACACTCTATTGTCATTTAGAATTTATAAAGATGCCTATATTAGTAATAAAAAAGCCTGAACCAGTTTTGTTAAACATGCTTTTATTGCCTACCCATATATGCTGATGATGTTGACAAGTTGTTCTGAAAAACTTTCGTAAAGTCAACCTCTGCTGTCAAACCTCCAAGAAGAAAATATGTACATGAATTTTATTTTCATATAAAGAAACAGAAACTACTATTTGAATAAAACAATTGAGAGGTCCCTATAAAGAGCCTGTATCGCTCATCTGGAAAAAAATGTTACTTTGATATTTATTTTCATCTTCATGTTTGCTGACTTGTAGATCTAACCTTTTTTGCTATTTCTATCTATCAGATAATTTAAAGTTTTAAAGAAAATATCCAAAAATCAATAAAATTGGTAAATAAACGAGTCCAAAACCTGGACCTGCGTCACTGCATGTAATTGATTAAGGTAACATGTATACTGAAGCATAAGTTGATAATTTTCTTTCATTATACCATATGCATGAGAACTTTGACAAATTGCTTAACTGCTGCAACTCAACATTATGAAGCTGCAGACCAAAAACAAGTTGCTTTCTTTTAAAAAAGAAAAGCAATACGTGAACCTAAGACTGCTGACTGGTCACTAAAAGATTGTTGCTGAAGTTTTGTTTGCTTTTGAATTGAAATAATTGACTGTGAATAGAAGGAGATAATGATGGATTTAATCTACCTTTATTAAAAATATGTAATAGTGTGTACATTCTTGCACAAGTTAGTTGAAAGCAATGTTGGATAGGTGTGAATAGAAAAGTGTATATACAGCTACTATTTGAATATACATATTAAAGCTTGACTATCTCGTTTATTACTTGGGATTGTACATCATTTTTTATAATCCTATTGCAAATCCCAGTTTCTACAAACCGGATGTATAATGCAAATTGCACAAACCAATCGCAATATAAATTTAAGCACTCAGTTTGCTTTATAATCTGGATGCATTTATTTTATCTATCACATCTTTATATTTTGTTTCCTGCATGGATGCCTTCATATTCTCAACTCGTTATTGAAGTTGTCTGTACTCATGGTAGATGTTGTACAGATAAATTTAAAATCCATTTTCCATGTGAAGTGAAACCCTGTGGCATGCAACTTATAAGAAGGTTTCGTATATTTTTCTTGAGAGTAACACACCAGCTTCATTTGGACCTCTTATATAGAGACTTATTTTGGTCTCATAAAACATCACAAATTTTAAGGATTTCCTGATTTTACTTAAATCAATCCAAATATTTTACATGGGAAACTTGGTTTTGAAGAATATCTTATCTTGATAGACCAACCCCCTCCACCTCCCCCTTCCCCAACCTGGGAACAGTATATCTTACAATGTATATATTCCTGCGAAAATATTTTTTTTTAAACGAGAAAAAAGAAAGAGATGAACGGTAAGTCACATCAGATTCAGATACTTATATAGTTGATTGTTGTTAACTAGAGATGTATACATGTCTCTGTTAACTTATAAAATAACAGGAAAGTATAAAGTAAACTTGAAAAGGATTTTTGATGAAAACTATGCAACCGCGACACCCCTTTTGATCACAGCGTACATGCATGTATTTAAATGACTGTCCGTTATCTCAATTAAGAATTGCAATCGTACGTAAAATCCTATTATAGTTCATGGTGAGACTTTTTCTACCAGATACGCGACTTTTCGTATTTATATTTTCTCTTATATTACTCTCATTCAATATTTTATGCATAAGTGCAATATTAGGAATGGTTTATCACCCCTTTTTAAGCTAACTAAATAAATTAATCAACCCTCTAGCTGACCAGACGTTAATACAACTACTATCAGTCTATTCGGAGTGAAGTTTCTTTATTTCTTCAAATAAGCTTTTTGGGGATCATTAGTGTACGTCCAGTGGCATATATATTACATGCATGTCGGAACAGGAAAATTGACATGAGGTACTACCGCTATTAGAACCATGTTCACATTATTATACATAATACACAACCATTGAGATGATGATGACTTTCTTAAACTGTTCAAAATTATCTAATTGAAATAAAAATCTGTGATTTTACTATGTGCATAACTTCGATGAACCAAAGCAAGTTAGATATCGACCTGTATTTAAATCAGATTGGTTTTGGATGTTTCTCTCGTGTATTCAATATACATGTATATATTCTAAATTGCGACTATCTATAGTTCCGTAACCTTCTATCTAGGCGTATAATCCAATGATTGACAACCAGTTATTACTTACATTTTCCCCAATTTACGTTTGGAAAATATGTAAATATATTTTTATTTTATCAAATCTTTTTTTGGAATTATTTAGATTTTCATAAATATTCTTTACACCATAAATGTTATTTATAAACCAGCGTATGAGACAATCAGAGTTTAGTCATATATATAATGGCTATCATATCTATGGTTTAGTAAAGACTAGTATATCACTATCGGACACGCAAGACAAAGATGTATATTCACCTGATAGTTTCAAAATGGAAAGTTACAAGTTATCGGCCGTGTACACTTCTCAATACCCTCATAGGTGAAGTGATGCACCAACTTGCATTATGTAATTGTGTAATAAGAGTTTTAAAGCCCGACAGGAAATCGCTTGAATACCTGGACGTGTCAAATTACAATACCTCTGGGAACAATTCCTTTAGCCATGCTGGTGATCAGATAAGGGAAGGTCCGAATTTATTTAAATAAGATTATTACATAAAAGAATTATGAACGCACTAGATTTTCGAAAACAATTTTACACGGAACACTTATTTATCACTTTGAACTTTTTTACTAATTTTCATTTAAATTTCTTGTTTCAAAAACTTGGTAAAAAAAAACAGTTTCAAAACGACAGACCATACTACTAGTTATTCAAAAAAAAATATATATAATTAAATTTTCCGTATCAAGTTAGTTAGGAAAGGTTGCATGCACAACCATGTCTATTATAATCTTTTTTTCTGTTTATGCTTTCCTTGTCGGGTAAAACAACCGTAGGCTTGACAAGATAACGACACTCAATTACAGCTACATTAGGTTACTGCTTTGTTGGGACCTTTGTGGTTTATAGATATATTGTGGTTTCTATTCGGGGATGATGTCAAATGGCCGCACGCCGAGAAGTGATACTCTAAATTTAAAATCGATGGTGATCTCTTATCTAGCAGAATTAAACTTTAATATTTATGAATTTGTGCTTTTTTATACATAATCAACATAATATCAATTTTTCATTTTTTTGCAAAGTATCCCTTTAAGTAATCTATTCCTTGGGTAGAAAATCCTTGGCATTTCAAAAATGTCTAAGTTTATAAAAGGACAGTGACTCAAAAAAGAAAACATTAGAGAAACAGCTAGAGGTCAGAATACCGTAAGCAATGATGACCGTGCTTGAAAGTCACATGGCAAGCTCTTATTGCCGTGTCCTGAATTTAGATAATAGTAAAAATTCGCATTCGCTAGTGATATCAATATTTATGTATGAACGTGGTATTTTTGCGCAAGATAAAGTAAAAAGAAAGCATACGCACTGATACTCTGGATAAGAATACGCATTTGCGTCATCACATATATTAATCTAATAGATAAATTCGGAAGTCAATTTACCTCCCTCAAGTGTGCTGACTCCGGATTCATTGACATTTTATCCCGAATTTTTGTGAACGCAAACCGATAGTGTGCGTGTGAACAGGGTGATGTATAATGTGAATGAATCAAGACGTGTAGGATAGCTGACCAACACAATGAATACAATTTTCAAAACTGTACCATAGTACAAGTATTTAGATGCTATAAGGTTGAACTAATAAAAGAAAAAAAAAAGGAAAAAAAATAATTAACATTATGAAAGTAATTAAATTTTGTTATGATTATTGTAAAATATTAATTACGTTTTTTGTGAGATGCAAGGATTTATTTAGCTAACTTTGGGTATGCATCCCTGCTCATTGGTGCTCATACGTTACATATAATTATCATAAATGTAATGACTGATCAAATCTGTGAGACATAATGCACATATACATTACAATTTTAATTATATTCTATAATTATTAGGAATAAATTCAGTCTCAGTTTTACCTTAACAATGAATATTGTCTTAGTCTGGTAGTATCTATTAATGAAATTAGATATCTTTTTACAGAAAAATTATTTTGTTTGATTATCTTTCTGATTTCCGACCACTGTGTTTCCGACCTTAGATAAATATTTTTAACAGAAATATCGTTTTCTTACTTTTCTTCATTCTTTCCGACATTTTCTCATGCTATGATTGAAATACTAAATATCAAATGATAAATGTTCAGAAATAATCAGTTTATTCCGGGTCATTGTATATCAATAAACTATTCCCAGGTTTATTAAATACAACACACACAACTCGTAGAGGGACCGTCTCAAAGCATGAATTATATAATTGCGTTATCATTATACTTGATATTTAATAAACATTCACATTTTTAAAAACTTATATGTTTTGTCAAAAGGCAAATAGGTTTTAACAAATAAATGATTTTTAGAATGCAACCTAGTCTTTATTGTTTTACTTTCAAATCTACAAATGAACCGTTTGTCGGATTGTTGAAATATACAATGTCATGTTGTAGCCTATCCATAGAGGGACCCTATCAAAGACATAAATAACTACCTATATAAATGATGGAAAATTTTCGAGATGTTCAGAGAATCGTGATTCCAAGGATATCGAGTGGCCCATAGACACTTCCAAAACTCTCCAATATATAAGCGTGAACCCCTCAGGGGGTTCACGCAATAAAATTAATCCCTTGCAAAGAAGTCAAGAAAAGTTTGATGAAAGTTTTCCTGGAATTCCAGGATTGTGGGGAGGATTTCTAATTATCCGACAAGGTTAATTGTAGTGCCATTACCAGTCTTTTACAAAAATTTTATAAAGCAAAGGAAAATTCTAGTTCGCCTGAAATTGTACAGATAAATTGTCACTACATCATTACCAGAGTCAGGTGATGCTGCTCGAATTTTAACACACAGATGTGCAAAAGTTCAATTATTTGAAGCCCCAATTAGGAAATGAAGCTGCACAGACAATAGCTGGATTTTCTCTCACTAACACTAGTACTAGTTATTCAGAGTCTGTAAATGTTCTTATAGAGAAATTTGGACAGACACACAAAATTACTCAAGCTCACATGCAAGCACAGCGCATTGATGTTACACCACCACAAAATAATCTCACAAGCCTGACAAATTTGTATGATAACATGGAGAGTTAAGTTAATTTCAGGACTGGAATTATTTGGACAGACACAACATTCATACAGTGATTTACAAGTTCCAATTATAATTAACAAACTGCCTGGAGAAATAAAAAAATCTTACTCGGGAGCATGGTTTGAAAAAATGGCTATCAAACAAGGAATTATTTGAATCTGAAGTAATTTTGAATTATGGAAAATTGATAAGAAATGTATGATGAAAACTATGGAAGGTTAACCATTAGAGCATGGCTAAGGCTAAGATTACTTTCACTGATATTTCAGTATGAACTAACTAACCCCCTTAGCCTCCTTAATTTAGTCAGTTTTCATCATACATTTCTAGTCAATTTTCCAGAATTGAAAATTATTCCAGATTCAAATAATTCCTTGTCATTACGTGATCTTCCTTAAAGTAAACACGAAGAGTAACAATAAAAGTTGAACAAGTTACACAGACAGAAAGTAATATTTCAACTTCAAACTTTTTCACAGGAGCTAAATGACAAAGAAAACACCATACCACAACTAAATAAATTTCTTTCCTTTACAAGGCATAATAAAATGCTCCACTGGGCGCAGCTTGATACGACTGCATAGGTCGAACCCTGAACAGTTGGGGCAAGTATGGACACAGCATTCAAGTTTGATACAGCTCTGAATTTGGATTGTGATTAAATATTTGACACAGCATAGGTTTCTGACACAGAATGAATGTGGTCAAAGAACTTAATTTTTTTTTAATTTACCTATTATGGTCCAATATCCAAAATTTAAATACATGGTTAGATTCAGCATATCAAAGAATCCAAAGAATTCAATTTTTGATGAAATCAAACAAAGTTTAATTTTGGACCCTTTTGACCTCAATGTGGACCAATTTGATAACGGGGCCCAAAAATCTAAATACATGGTTGGATTCAGCATATCAAAGAACCCCATATATTCAATTTTTGTTGAAATCAAACAAAGTTTAATTTTGGACCCCAACTTGGACCAACTTGAAAACTGGGCCCATAATCAAAAATCTAAACACATGTTTAGATTCAGCATATCAAAGAAGCAGAAGAATTCAATTTTTATTAAAATCAAACTAAGTTTAATTTTGGACCCTTTGGACCTTAATGTAGACCAATTTGAAAACTGGACCCAAAATTAAAAATCTAAATACATGGTCAGATTCGGCATAACAAATAAATAAATGTGGTCAAAGATTTTACAAATCTAATGTGCCATACTGTGCAATTAAAGATTACATCTTGAAATTTTTCAATATTTGAAATTTGAAAAAAAAAAAAATATTTGAAGAATAATTCTTTTTAATTTCTGAAATCTGAAATGAGAAAAAATTGACCCCACACAATTTCTTTTTACCCCCCCCCCCCCCTTTTTCCCCAAAAAAATTCTTTCCCTCAAGATATGGTCATAATCTCAATTCAAGTTAAATTTCCAATGGAGTTTGCAACCATAATTACCCATTTAAATTTACCATAGTCCTAACTTAATCTATTTTATAATAGAATTTAAAATATGGTGTCAAATCTTGCATATGGATTTTTTTTGTAAAAAAAAAAAGATGCAACATTTGAAGATTTTTTTACTGGTCTTCCTTTATAAATATGCATTTCTTTAAACATAATTTACAAGCAGTGTAAGGAAAGTAATCAAAATGTTGTATTTGGATTACCTCCCTTACACTGTTTTAAATTGTCTTAATTGGTCATAAACCATTACTTTATACATAATTTAAAAGCAGTGTAAGGGAGGTAATTCAAATGAAGTATTTGATTTATCTCCCTACACTGCTTTAAATTATGTTTTGTACTTAAGTATTTGTCCATTAACCAGGACAACCTTGTTTTTCCCCCTTTTTTTGCCCCTAATTCCTAAACTGTTTGAGCCATAACCCCCCAAAGCAAATCCTAACCATCCCTTTATGGTATGGAAACTTGTGGTATAATTTCAGAGAGATCCATACTCCGTTCCACAAGTTATTGTCTGGAAACTAGAAAATGCTTATTTATGGCCTCTAATTCCTTAACTGTTGGTACCATAACCCCCAAAATCAATCCCAACCTTCTTTTTGTGGCATTTAACCTTATTGTAAAATTTCATAGAGATCCATTCACTTAAACTAAAGTTATAGTGCGAAAACCAATGTGTCTTCAGACATCAACGACGACGACGCCAACGTCATACCAATATACGACCACAAGAATTTTTGCGATTGTATAAAAAGGAAATAGACAAACAGACAATTATTATATATTATAGCTTGCTATTCGGTGTGCGCCAAGGCTCCGTGTTGAAGACCGTACTTTGACCTATAAAGGTTTTCTTTTATAAATTTTGACTTGGATGGAGAGTTGTCTCATTGGCACTCATACCACATCTTCTTATATCTATAAACAACAGTACACAAAACAACATAGAAAACCAAAGACTGAGCAACACAAACCCCACCAAAAACTGGGGGTGATCTCAGGTGCTCCGGAAGGGTAAGCAGATCCTCCTCCACATGTGGCACCCGTTGAAAGTCTGAAACATTAAGGTTTTACTACAAGTATCACATAATATTAACATTATCAATGTTCTATGATAATGAGGTAATGGTAAGATGAACCAGGCCAGACAGACATGTACACCTTACAATCATTCCACACACCAAATATAGTTGACCTTTTGCTTATAGTATCTGATAAACTGACAAAATTATGAAAACTTATCATTGACCAATGAATCATGAAAATAATGTCAAGGTCAGACAATACCTGCCAGACAGACATGTACACCTTACAACTGTTCCATACACCAAACATAGCTGACCTTTTGTTATAAGTATTTGGAAAACCGACAAAAAACATAACATTAACCAATGAAACATGAAAATGAGGTCAAGGTCAGATGATACTGGCTAGACTGACAAGAACAGCTTACATTCATTCCATACACTAAATTAGTTGTCCTATTGCTTATAGTACTTGAATTAGAGGCTCTAAAGAGCCTGTGTCATTCACCTAGGTCTATGTGCATCTTCAACATTGTAGACTACTGTTTTAAGTTTCTCTCTATCTTATTTACAAACTTTTTTTTGGCAGAATTTGACCTAATTGTAGATCTTTTATCTAATTTTGTCTATTTGGGTTTTTTTATGTTATGTATTTTTAGAACTTTTTCATTGAACACAGTTATTGGCTTTTCATTCAGCCCCACTAACTCATTTATAACAGCTTACCTTGACTAGGCGGTGTGCTCCAGCCACCAGGAGAGTAAGTAGTCTGCAAATTATTGACAGCGTTATTCATGGCCATCACTTGCTGAACATTCTGAACAAATGGATTCCCTGTTAAACTCAGTAAATCATCACTTGCATTTCCAGATTGTGAAGATATTGGTGAGCCAAGCAAATTATTTGTGTCTGGTGCATTTGTATTGTTAGCAAATGGATTTGTTGATGGTGGTGACTGTGTAGCATTACTAGGAGTTGCTGTTGATCCTGTTTCCTTTAACTTATACTCCTAAAATTGAATGAACAAAACTGTTAGGAGGCTGAACCTGGTAATTACCAAATCCATTATTCAGCGTGATCAACTTGATAAAGATTAAGCTTAGTTTTAACTAATACAAATTCTTAACACAAAAATCCTTTTTTACCTTAATTTCAAATTCGGACTTTTTCAACAAATGGTACAAATCAGTACAAAAAAAATGCATAAATCTTGATAAATTGGCTATTATCAAATCTGTTTAAATCATTACAATTTCATGTTCAGTCATACAACTTACAAAAAAACATGATTATTGCAAATGCAAAGAAAAAAAAATAATGCCATTAGTTTTCCTCTTGATAACATTGATGTTCTTTTTGGAGGCTAAATTTACTGTCATATTCCAATGGGGACTAAATTTAGCCAAATTAAGATAGATTGGGGGTCTAAATTAAAATCCATAGAATTTCTTAATTATTTGTCAAAATGTAGTTTATATCCTGTTTTTTCCAAAATATAATAAAAAGTATGGGTCACCAGGCTTTTTTTCACACTACAGGTTGTGCAAAATTGTTAAATTTTGTATAGATTATGCATGGAAAACCCAATTTTGTGTGATAAAAAGAAAACTACACCATAGAATTTTAAGATAAAATATGAGAAGATAACTCTCATATGCTTTCAGATGAGAAAGAGAAAAAATGGGGTCACCGGACTCGTTTTCTTGCTACATATTTAAATAGGTAAATTCACAACACATTCTATCATAAAAATTACTTTATCTGAGTTATTTCCCCTTATGTGGCAAAGTTAAAAAAAAATGAATCAAACAAAAATAAATGTGGATAGTGTCCACATGTGGACACAGATGATGCCCCCGCTTGCATATCATATAGTTATAAAGGGACATAACTGAAGAAAGGTAAAAGTGACACTACCCAAATTTGAACTTGATCTGTGTTTTGTGGTAATAAGCATTGTGTGTAAGTCTCATAACATTTGGTTGAGGCTAACTTAAGTAGAGAACAGAAACTAAAAATTCAGCAATTTTTCTATTTGTAATGATGCATAACTCTAGAACGGTTATGTATAAGTTTTACAACATTTGGATGAGACAAACTAAAAAATTCAGCAATTTTTATGTTTATAATGGGACATAACTCTAGAATGGTAAAAGTGTTGCCACCTAATTTCGTACTTAATCTGTATTATGTAGTAATTAGCATTGTGTATAAGTTTCATAACATTTGGTTGAGGCAAACTCAAGTTAGAGAACTGAAACAAAAAAAATGTACTTGATCTTTACTGAGTTTTGTTGGAATGAATATTGTGTATAGGTTTCACAATCTTTGGCTGGGGAAAACTTCAGTTACAGAATGGAAACTAAAAAATTTTGCAATCTTTCTATTTATAAAGGGGCATAACTCAATAATGGTTAAAGTGACACTACCCAAATTCAACTTGATCTGTGTTTTATCAGTGGTAGTCAAAATTAAACATTGCATTGTATAAAGCATTGATTGTAGTTGATTCAACTATAATCATGGTCAAAGGAAGATAACTCCAATTTTAAAAATATATTATATAAACTTGATATTTAGAAGAAAATAAAAATTTTGCAATTTTTCCTTTTATAAAGGGGCATAACTCTAGATCGGTTAAAGTGACACCACCAAAATTCAAACTTGATCTGTGTTTTGTGGTAATAAGCATTGTGTATAAGTTTCATAACATTTGGTTGAGGCAAACTTAAGTTAGAGAACGGAAACTAAAAATTATGCAATATTTCCTTTTATAAAGGGGCATAACTCTAGATCGGTTAAAGTGACGCCACCAAAATTCAAACTTGATCTGTGTTTTGTGGTAATAAGCATTGTGTATAAGTTTCATTACATTTGGTTGAGGCAAACTCAAGTTAGAGAACGGAAACCAATTTCGGGACGTACGTACGTACGTACGTACGTACAGACGGACAAGGGTAAAACTTAATGCCCCCTCCGGTACGGCGGGGGCATAAAAATCTGTTTTTTGTACTACACAGCCGTAAATATGATACAACACATAATTTTCTATATTAACATGAAAAGTCTTACACATGAATTACATATTACTCTCAAAATTTGCACATTTCATTAAAGATCTAGACCAATTGTTATCTGCTAATTTAAAATCAAAGATGGAGGAAGACACCCCAGCTACCTTAATATATATATGCATTCTGTTATGAATCACTGCTTAGTCAAACTTCATATCAAAACCCAATGAGCAACCACTTGATACATATTTTTGCTAGTAAGAAATGTTTCTGTGAAATAATAGACATGTCTTCCCTTCATCTCCCAGACTCATTCCTGTAACAGAAAGGCCAAAGTCAGGGGATATGAACAGTTTTAAGATATTAAATAATTCCTGATTTGAGGATGTTGGGGCATCACTTGCTGAACATTCTGAACAAATGGATTCCCTGTTAAACTCAGTAAATCATCACTTGCATTTCCAGATTGTGAAGATATTGGTGAGCCAAGCAAACTATTTGTGTCTGGTGCATTTGTATTGTTAACAAATGGATTTGTTGATGGTGGTGACTGTGTAGCATTACTAGGAGTTGCTGTTGATCCTGTTCCCTTTAACTTATACTCCTAAAATTGAATGAACCCAAAAGGACAAACCAATGGTACAATGATAAGTTCTTGTCATGGCAAATAAGCATATATACAAGTTAAGGGAATGGGATCTTAACAAGATACTTCACAATTTATATGGGTGCACCAGAAAGGCCTTATCATGACAATTAAGAATATATCGGGTTTGACGTGGGATCATAGCTTTAGGCCAGGTGAATTAGAAAGTCATCATTGTACTTTATTACAGCTTGATATCAAAATACCTCACAGTTGTCTTATAATTCATCCCAAAATTTATGGAAAACAGGAAAATATTCTCACTAATAAATTGCAATTAAATAAACTATCTGAATTTGGTCAAATAAAGAACTTTAAGTCAGCAAGTTCACATTCCCCTTCCCATTTATACCGGAAAATGCTTAAAGTTACCTGCTGGCACAGTTATCTGTTTATTTCTAAGTATGATAGTTTCTTGTTATGATATCAGACAGTATTGGAACTGTTCTAGAATTATATGCTGATGTTTTATTATATTGGTTCGTAGATATTTTGTATTGTTGTGATATTTTGTGACAGATTGAATATTGTAGGTTTTTTTAAATCCAGTTCCTTCCTTTGCAAGCTAATTTGATCTCTCTGCATTTGAAATATTTGTTAATTTGCTGATATTTTAAAATGGTTTGTGAAATATTTCTTAGTTACTTTCTTATCAAAAAGAATTAAAAAAAGATAATTTAGTACACTAGATCAATGTTCTGCCTAGTCATCAGAGGAGCTCAAATCGAATCAGCTGGAAGTCCAATACAAATAAAAAATAAATGGGGAATGTGTCCATGGGACACTGATGATGCCCCCGCTTGCATATCATATAAAGTTATAAAGGGACATAACTCAAGAATAGTAAAATTGACGCTATTCAAATTTGTACTTGATCTGAGTTTTGTGGTAATAAGTATTGTATATAAGTTTCTTAAAAATTGGTTGAAGCAAACTTAAGTTAGAGAACGGAAACGAAAAATTCAGCAATTTTTCCATTTGTAAAGGGGCATAACTCTAGAACAATAAAAGTGACGCCACCAAAATTCAAACTTGATCTGTGTTTTGTGGTAATAAGCATTGTGTATAAGTTTCATAACATTTGGTTGAGGCAAACTAAAATTAGAGAATAAACACGGCGGGGGCATAAAAAAGAATTTCAAAAAAGTTGTGCCAAATGTGGCTAAGGCAATCTATGCTTAGGGTTAGAAAAACCAGAAGTATTTCAAATAATTCAACATTTCATAAACATTAAATCCACAGAAAATGAACATATCAATAGTATAACAAGTCAACACAAAAGTGCTGACTACTGGTTGGTGATACCCTCGGGAGATAATCGTCCACCAGCAGTTGCATCAATGCAGTGGTTGTCAGAACTCATCAAAGATATCAGGCTTATTATTTGGTACACCATACGCATGCTTTGTCTACATAAGACCACTGGTGCTTGAATCAGAACAGCTGAAAAGCCAAATCAAATATGAAGTTAAGAGCATTAACAAGAGGCACAGCTGTGCCTGTAACGCTCATCTTGTGAAAAAATCACTGGTTTGTTAATTAGGACTTTTATATGCACATACTACAGGTACTCTTGTGTTGTTGATCATTTTTGCAATTTACATGTTTAACCTAGCTCCTATAGTTTTTAGATCACAGCCAAAACTGCCAGAAAACAGTAAAAATCAACCATGGGGCAATAGCTCCAAAAAGGTTTGTGAAACTTACAGAGTAAATAGATCTTGTCCTGCTGATTATTTTTGCAGTTTACAATTTTTACATATTTTTACATAGCCTCTATAGATTTCACAATAACAGCCAAACACTGCAAAAATGGTAATTTCAGGGAAAGTAACTCTAAATCAGGTTGATAGATTTTTTTCCCAATTTTCATTGTAGATGCATCTTATCAGGCTGATCCTTTTGGCAATCTTTTTTTTAGAAGAGAGGTGAAAGATACCAAAGGTATATTCAAACTCAGAAATTGAAAAGAAACTGTAGACACCATGGCAAAAAAAAAAATAATTGCTTCGCCATGCGCAGGTGGATACAACCGCAGAGGTCCAACCCTAAACAGTTGGGACAAAAATGGACGCAATATTCGCGCTTGATACAGGTCTAAATTTGGATTGCAATTAAATATTTGACACATAAAAGGTTTCTGACACAGAATAACTGCAGTCAAAGAACTTAGAATGGGTTATATGATTTGAATTTATATTCAATTTTTTGCTTTTGTGCAATACACTTTGCTGTTGCGAATTGCCCCCCCCCCCCCCACCTCCTGCACCTCCCCCCACAAAAAAAAATAAAAAATTACCCCCCTTTTTTTTTTTCTTTTTAGCAATACACTATGCTGTTGCGTATTAA